CACCTGCAAATACTGCCTCCCAGGATTAAGACACAATGATTGTACAATTCACCATCAAACCACATGTCTGATGAGTTGTTTCAGACGGCACACACTTGCTCCTCTTAAGAAATTAACTAGACTCATTCAGTTTGTTTGGCAAAACATTTTATTCATAAAAACCTGCCTCTCCTCAACTCTCTGCTCAAATACCTTGGAAGGCTGAAAGTTGGGTATCTGCACAGTACAGAATCTGAATACCCACTAATGTCTTTTAGCTGCACCATACACGCTGCCACTCTCTGGTCCCCGCTGCTCCCCATCTTTGTGTTTAATGTGAAATACTGAACGAGTAGTTCAAGCCTGGGGCAGTCCAGTCCCTGCTGTCCTTCCCCACCCCACCCCACCCCACATCAGTTCAGGAAATCTTGTTAGCAGTTATCCTTTGTGAGGAGGGTGCCAGTCTCTGTAATGGAAATGACCCACACTGAAGCGACTTGAGTTGCTGAGAGACCTATTGACATTTCCCATTGCCGTGAGATTCGCCAAGACTTCCCTCTTGGGTCCTGGCATCTCAAAAACCAGAGAAATAGCACAGAGGGATTCTTGGAGCTCTTTTCCGAGGAAGTCTGGATTTTTTCTTCTAAATGCAACCTTTTTTCACCACTCTGCCTTTGTAAGCTTTCCTCACTTGGTCAAGACATTTGAGAAGAATGACTAGGCGGTTTAAGGGGAGGAGCCTCAGTGTGGTGTCCTGACTGGGCAGTGGACAAGAAGCTCTGAGGGTGGGCTAGCTTTGGCCTTGGAGATACGGTGGGGTGGGCCACTGCTGTAAACGACTGCAGGAACTTGTAAGGGTACTTACTCATGCTGCCCTGACTGCGTCTCCAAGCACTCCTTTCCTGTCAGCCAATGAGGTTGTTTAGAGTCACCGAGTCGGTTCCGACTCACAGTGACCCTGTACAGGGTTTCCATGGAGCAGCTGGTTGGCTTGAACCACCAATCTTGTGGTTCACAGTCTAGTGCCTATCTTACAGCGCCACATCAGGAGTCCTTGGCATTCAGTGATAGCAGGCACTAAATACATGCCCTTCTCTCCCACCATCAGACTGAAAAGTACAGCTGGGGGCAGGCCCCACACAGTCAGCAACCCACGGGGAGGGGGGCACTCCCCTGTGCTCCCACTCCTCCCCTGGCCAGGAGTCTTGGGAATGCTGCTTCTTAATCACTTTCCTGCCAACCGTGGGACTAGGTACCAGGGACCACTGCTTCCCAAAAGCTTGAGGGAGTGAGACCTTGACGAGCCTTCATTCATTAACACAAGTCGACACACATGTCTGGAGCTGGCAATACAGAAATGAGGACATTGTGCTCTCTGGCCTCTTCCTTCCCAGTGTTCACTAAGCTCCTTTACTGGCATATTGCTTCTGCTACTTTCAAAGGCCGTAAGGGGATTGTACCAATACTGACAGTTCGACCTTAGAATGAACTGCAGTCAGGTTAAGAGTCAACCCCATTTTTCAGGATAAAGCTACTGAGGCCCAAAATGCTTTGGCTACCCTAGCTGATGAGGACAGAGATAATTCTAACTCTATTCGTTCAATGTCAAAGAGAAAGCAACTAGAGTCTGTGCAGGGGCGAGACTTCACAAGGTGGATTTGTGCATCTGCTGAGGTCTCTGCTGCCCTCTCTGACAGGTTTGTAATGGTCCCCCAATCCAGAGCACACTCTCTGGTTTTAGTGCCTACCTACTGTGTGCCACCTGCCCTCTGCACAGCTCTCCAGTCCTTCAGGGTGAAACTAGCTAGACGTGGGGGACAAAGAGCGAGCAGAGTAAGAAAACCAGTTTCCCAGATACAGAAGGGAACAGGGGTGAAGAGTCTCACCCTGGCTTTGAGTTAGAGCAGGCACACGTGTACATGAATTCTTCATGTTCCTCTTCACAGGTAACTCACTGGGCTATAGAGCCTCATTCTTACACACACATCCCTAATACCAATGCCGAAGAATGTGTAACTACATATGAAGGGGGCTTCAGAGAAGTTTGTGGGAAAATGGAATGAAAATAGTGGAATGTCTCCAAAAGGCCTCACTCAAGGGTCCCGGGAAAGAGGTGTGGATGGGAACTTCTGTCTCACTCAGCTGTGAATGGAAGGTACCATGAAGAAACGAAGGCTGGAGGTTGGGAAGCGAGAGGGGCTCAGGAAATGACTACAAGACATGTATTCAAATCCTTTACAAACTGTAGTGTCATTTCCAGAAGAATACAGGAGGTTGTAGTTGGCACAGACCAACTCCATGGTCGCAGGCTTTCGTCGTGCGGCACCATTTCATGGTGGTGCGTGGGCCAGGAGATGGGGCAAACCACTAGGGCAGAGTCTAAGTACGAGAACTTGATCTAGAAACTTAAGAGCATGTGTGTATCATGTTTAGCAGCAGGCATAAGAAAATAAAAGCTCAAGATTAATTACTAATTTACAAAATGAAAAAAGGTAGCATTGAAAACGTGACAACCAATTTTGGGGTGGGGGGTCATGCAGACATGAAATAATTACCATTTGAATGTCCTATTATTCCCTTACTTTATTATCTTATCAAGCTGAGGTGGAGACACACACACACATTACTTTTCTGGTGGCATTTGCGGTTTGATCTTTGCTCTAAGGGTGGAGTTTGGAAGTCTTAGACGCCACATGCTTTTGTAAATAATACCCTCATCTCTGAAGCACAAGATTACAGTGTTGACCTGGAGAGAGAGAAAGGAAAGGCGTTTACGAGACAATTCTCATCCAGTCTGACAGTTAGTCTACTTTACTAACTCACTGGTTTGCTTTTTAAAAAGTTGGGAACAATTCTCTATTTGGATTGAAAAATCAGTTAACAAAGGTGAACACGAGTTTACCAAAAACGTGTGGCAAAAAAAAAGTATTCACTAATGTTCGTTAGACATGCAGCCGTATGCTTCCTATGAAAGAGGACAATCATTCCCTAGGGCATCGCCAATGTCCAGCTGTCCCACGACTGGTCTCTAGTATCTGCGCACACACACAGTCCGCAGGAAGAGGACTGGCCAGGGACTCTGAAATGGAATGGGCCCAGTTAAATGATCTGTGTGGCTCAGCAGTTTTGATGAATGTGGAAATGTTGACACCAGTGTGGGGGGACAACCCAATGCTGTGTAAGGCAGTACCTCAGGTGGGTCACCCAGACGCCAGCTAGGGAGCACTCAGTTCTTCCATGAAGTGAGCAAGGAAAGGAGCACTAGGTGTTGAGGATTTTAAGAGGATTGTTACCACTGTGTATTTACAGCAACGTCATTCTGAGAACTCCGTTTCCTTTAAAGGAAGCAGCTCTTGGTTCTGTGATGGATTCGGGATCCTTTAGCATAGACCCTTATAGACCACTCAACTTGTCTGAACCTTCTGGCTTAGATGGAGAAATAGTATTTACACTCTAGAGAACGAAAAACTGGGGCACCTTAAGGGACTTGCCTCAAGAGGCCCAGGGGTCCCAGGACGTATATATACCCAATCCACAGGTCTGTTACAGGTGGTGGACATGTGCCATACATGGATGGAGCCCAGGGGCCTCGGGGCCACCCTGTGCCAAAATGACACATCTGCCCCCAGCAGAAAGTTGAGTCTTTTCTATGTGCAAAGAGAGGGGCTAGTGCGCATCCCTTCTGCCTCCATGGATTCTGTGAGGTAAAGGTCAGGGGCAAAGCGAAGGAAGAAGAAAACACTGACAAGCCACGAAAACACACGCCCAATGACAGGCAGAGAGAGGGACTTTTCCTAACCAGCCTTAGACACTTTTTCTGTCATATACACACACACCCCTCCCAAAGGCCCACTGAAAACATCCAAACCCTCGGTTGGAAACGAGAGGTCAGAAGCACTTCAAGTGTAGTTATGATTTGACCTGACTTCTAGTATCTATACTACACAGAAAGGGGGGCCTCAAAAAGTTCATGGACAAATGGAAGTGAAAGACAATGGAAATTTCCAAGAACTTTGTGAGGACCCCCTCACTCATATAAATCAGTACATACATGTATCTATATGGGTATACGTGTATATGTGCGTGGGCACATATGTAACACATACACACACATTCACTGATGCGCCTGACTGCTCCGGATTCCATCAGAGTTGCCAGGCCTTGCCGTATAGCCCTGGTTGAGTCCTTCGGAGCCTCGGTCTCCCCGGGTTTCTGCCTCCAGGGGGCGCCAGGGCCAGTTGTCTTGTCAAACTGGCGGCGCCATCTCCACTCTGGGCACGTAAGTGGCAAGTGGAAGACGATGAAAAGAACCTGTCTGTTTTCATATTCATACATGTGCAGTGTCTTTCTAGTTAGCACTGCGCCATGTAGCTATGCGGCAGATTTGCTCAGGTTCAGAAAGCAGTAGATGCGGAAGGGGATTCCGTATGTACAGAAGCAAAAAGCCACTATGCGGGTGGGGGTGGGGGTATCCTGTCCTGACCCAGGGTCATCGGCTCAGCTCACACAGAAGAGTCCAGTCTCTGTGTTCCTGGTATCCCAACACACTTGATCACTCGTTGTTCCCAATGATCCCTGGAGTGTCTGACACGCTGCCAAGTACAGCTGCAGATGGAAGGATGGCAAGAGAAAAGGGCCAGGCCGCCGGTAAATAATGACTGATATGTCGCCGAGTCATCAGACAGGGACAAGTGGGCTGATCTCAAGACGCAGAAGAGAAACGAGAACCTCTTAGGGTTTGGAAGTCAGCAAGCCAGTGTCCTGGGTCTTTTGGTAAATGAAACAAAAACAAACAAATAAATGGGCTGTATAGTGGAAGAGAACTGTTCTTTTTTCTAGTTCAGGGTCAAGCGGTTCCTACTGCGAGTCTAACACATGTTGGTCTGCAGAGCTGTGAGCACTCTCAGGAGGCCCTGCAGTCTAGGATTCTCCGGTGCGTTTGGTTCAATACTGGGTTGCCCAGCACGGGCGACAGTGAGGACAACAGCGTCTAGCCCTCTGGTGTGTGCTCCAGACCGGCCTCAGTTCTTTTTGTCCTCCTTGGGAGGCATTAGTCTCGTGGCTCCTAGGTGGTTCCAAACTTCCGAATACAACAGGGTCCCAAGGAAGACAAACAGGGTGCCCAGCCAGTGCCATGGAGTGAAGGGGTTCTGGAAGTACCAGATGGAGAAGATGAGGCTCACAAACTTGCGCAGCGTCACCATGAGCGTGACGGTGAGGGAGGTGCATTCTGTGGTCAGGATGAACACGCCTCGGATGCACACATACCTGGAGGAGGCAGTTAAGGTCGTTCTCTGACCGCTGTATCCAAGAGCCCAGTGGGCAGGACATTGTGACTTGGGGACATAAACGGTCACATTTAAAGAACACTGAACACTGGGCTCTTACCTGGTAGAACACCCGACAGAATTCCTGTCCCACCTTTCCTCTTGTGGGTCCCAGTTTGAAACTTCCTTAACACCCAGTTATAAGTATTTGGGATTTCCCCCAGTTTGGGATGAAGGTCAACACCAATGTAATGACCAGGGTGACCCTCTCAGTAAAAGGTGACTACACCCTTGTCCTCAGCCCTTCCACCACCTCCTCCAAACAGGAACTTTGCATGCCACACCTGAGGTGACTTCAGAGGCATAAAGCTCACCTTCATCCATTTCATTAGTTTAAAAATTGATTGATTTTAACGATAAGCTAAGCGTAGTTCCAACGGGACAATCAGGAGATAATGAAGCTTAGATTAATTTGAAATCTTTCAGAATTTTGTAGCAGCCTGCCATAACCTGAAATATCCTCGGCTACCAGAAAACATCCAAATAGAAATCACAGCTCATTCATGGCAAATACTAATTCTTAAGGAGCCCTGATGGTACAGTGGTTAAGCAGTCTGCTACCAAGGGAAAGGTTGGTGGTTTAGAACGAGGTGGCAGTCTGCTTCTGTAAAGCTTTACAGCCTTGGGAACCCTATGGGGCAGTCCTGCTCTGACCTAGGGTCGTCTTTATGAGTTGGAGTTGACTTGAAGGCGGGGGCTCTGTTTTTGTTGCTAAGTGTCATGGAATCAGTTCTGACTCATAGTGACCCTGAACAGGGTTTCTGAGGAGCGGCTGATGGGTTTGAACTGCCAACCTAGCAGTCAGAAGTCCAGTGCTGATTCTGCACTGTCACACCAGGACTCCAACGTTGTTGTTGTTAAGCAGCGTAGTCGGTTCCGACCCATAGCGATCCTGTACAGGGCTTCCGATGCTGTAAATCTTTACGGGAGCAGAGAGCCTCACCTTTCTCTCGCGGAACAGCTGGTAGTTTCGAACTGCCGACCTTGAGGTTAGCAGCCCGATTTGTAACCACTATGCTAAGGAGCTCTGGTAGCGTAGTGGTTACGAATCGGGCTGCGAACCTTAAGGTCAGCGGTTCAAAACTACCAGCCACTCCGCGGGAGAAAGATGAGGCTTTCTACTCCAGTAAAGATTTACACCCTCAGAAACCCTGTACAGGGTCGCTATGGGTCGGAACCTACTGGAAGGCACTTAACAACAACAACAACAACATGCTACCAGAGCTCCTTAGGACTCTAATACTAATCCCTAATTAGTCACAGGACTTCAGTTTCCTCCAAGCATTCCTTCTCTTTGACCTAGTCCCCCTCACTGTGACCTAATGCTCAATTAGCATCTCTATTGTCCTCAACAAGGGAGCTCACAGAACAGATCTCTGTTTCCTCCTCACCGCAGAGAAAATCAGGGCAAAACCCAAACTCATGTCACTGCATCCTTAGGAGAAAAGACGACACGTTTTCTGTCAGTAATGCAAGGATACTGAGTGATGACATTCATGAGGAGGTAGAACCACATGATGGGCATCGTCACCCCAAGGACCGGAACCGGGTACAGCTCTGCAGAGGGCAGAAAAGAGGACACTCATGTTACTGGCAGGGACAAGGTAGCACAGACTGACCAGACAACAGCAGTCCCTTACAGAGCATCCCAAGTGGGCTTGGCTCCAGGGCACATCAACCATTAGCTGGCTTCTTAAAACAAACACTAATTGATTTTAACTTTTAACTAAACAGCTGACCTGAACAGAGCTCCACTTTACAAAGACAGACTGTCACACCCAGAGAAGCCCAGGAACGATGCCACGGTCTTAACTGGCCATCGGCACAAGAGGAAAGACATCTGGGAAGAAGTTCAGTCCCTCTGATAACCAAGGAATTTAACCTGAAACAAAGACTGTGCCGTCTTCTGTCTAACGGCATTTTATATATTTGAAAATGTATACATAACGTCCTACTTCTGGCAAGGTAGAAATGGGGGTGACAGCCAGTCAGTTGGTGGCTTTGTTTTACAAATCCATTTCCCAATCTTTATTGGGGGCCATGTGCAAATGTTCACATGTATTCTTAGGAACTAATCCTAGTGAATTTCAAAGGAGAAAAACCTTCTGTATAAATGCCCAGTGATGAGCTATGTAAGCAAAGGTCCTTAAACCACATGAGGTGCTATGCATTTCATAAAGCGAGAGATCACAGCTGTACGGTCACGTGAAGAAATGTGAAATGCAGGTGAACAAGCAAACAGAAAATCCAGCCACCGAGGAATGGGATTATGGAAGGTTCTAGATAAGACCATACCTGGAAGGGCACCGGGGAAGGTCAGTGGGACACTGAGCAACTTTTACCCATGAGATACGTTTGCGGGTCTTAGAAATGGAAGATCTGGGGAAACCCTGTGTCAAGCAAGTCTCTGGACACCGTTGTTCCAACAGCAGGAGGTTGCTTCGTGTCTGTCACATTTTTGTAACCCACACAAGATTTCAAACCTTTCCACCATGCTATCGCACATGGGATAGACTGCAGTGTCGTGGAGACAACTTTTATATCTACTTGTTGTAAAGCACTGCTGAGTCGGTTCTGACTCACAGCAACCCTGTATAGGGTTTCCAAGGAGCAGCTGGTGGGTTTCAATTGCTGACATATTGGTTAGCAGTTCAGTGCTTATCCTACAATGTCACACCAGGATTCCTTATATTCATTGGCTATGGTCACTAGGGAACCAGAAAGTTCATGAGACTTCCTTTATTGTAATATCTGCTTTATTGCAGTAGTCTGGAACTAAATCCGCAGTATCTATAAGGTCTGCTTGTATTTGGGAAGAGATAAAATATCTCCAGGTCCAAGAGAATAAGGGAATAGAAATCCTCAAAGGGTCAGTTTTCTTTGTATTGCTAACCTGCTTTGGGAGGTCGAATTGTATCTTGTAATTTAAGAAATACTGATAATGTTAAAGCTGATACCTGGTTCGAAAAAGAACATTTGTTTTACAACAGGGCACTTTGTCCTCACTGTGTGTTCTGGACTTGGGGCACCCCAGGAATCTGGCACTTCGTTGCCTTCAATACATGGAGCAAGTATTGAAAAGAACAGGAAGGTAAAAATGTGGTTACTGTGCAATGCTTTCAGAGCTGCACCCTATAAATCCTCCAAGGAGAGCAGAAGACACTGACACAGGAAGGCGGCGGCACCGGGAATTGATGGAATGCAAACTGAAATCTTTCAACCAACTCATACAGCACTGGAGGCACTCCCTCATCTATGCCATGAAATTTGCAAGACAGCTACCTGGACAACTGATTGGAAGAGATTCAAATTTGTACCTATTCCAGTGGAATGCTGAAATCATCGGACAAGATCATTAATATCGCATGCAAATACAATTTTGCTAAAGATCATTTAAAAACGGCTTCTGAATTACATTGATAGGGAACTGTCAGAGGTTCAAGCTGGATTCAGAAGAGGATGTGGAACATGAGTCATCATTGCTGACATCAGATACATCTTGGCAGAAAGCAGAGAAACCAGAGCGATGTTTACCTGTGCTTTACTGACTATGCAAAAACTTTGGATTGTTTGGATCATGACAAACTATGGACATTATTGTGAAGTATAAGTACTCCGGAACATTTAATCGTGCTCATAAGGAACCTATATATTGACCAAGAGGCAGCTGTTCAAACAGAACAAGGAAATACTGAATGGTTTCAAATTAGAAAAGGTGTGTACCCGGGTTGTATTCTTTCACCATACTTATTCAATCTGTATGCTGAATACATAATTTGAGAAGCTGGATTATATGAAGAAAAAAGTGGTATCAGGATTGGAGGAAGACTCATTAACAACCTGCAATATGCAAATGACATAACCTTGCCTTGTTTAAGCAAAAAGGACTTAAAATGTTAACTGATGAAGATCAAAGACTTTGGTATAGGTTGCATTTCAATATAAAGAAAAAATCCAGTCAAGAAATCAAATGACGTACAGCATTAGACAAATCTGCTGCACAAGAACTCTTTAAAGTGTTCAGAATAAAGATGTCACGGAAGACAAAGGGGCACCTGACCCAAGCCATGGTATTTTCAATAAACCTCATATGCATGTGATAGTTGGACAATGACTAAGGAAGACCATAGAAGAACTGATGAATATGAGTTCTAGTGCTGGAGAAGAATATTAAAATTACTATGGACTGCCAAAACAACACACAAATCTGTGTTGGAAGAAGTACAGCCAAAATGCTCCTTAGGAGCCAGGATTGCCTGACTCTGTCCCTCACACTTCAGCCATATCATCAGGAGGGACCAGTCACTAGAGAAGGACAAAAAGCTTGGTAAAGTGGACGGCTGGAGAAAAAGAGGAAGACGCCCAACACGATGGACGGGCACAGTGACAGGAGCAATGGGCTCAAGTGTAGCAATGATTACGAGGATGGCAGTGTTTGGTTCTCCTGGGCACAGGATTTCTATGAATTGGTACTGACCCCGATGGCACCTAGTAACAACATCAAAGGGATTGTTCAATTTTGCCATCCCACTGGGTTTAAAACAAGCCACTGCAGAAGCAGGAAGGGGGAATCTTACTTTCTTTCATCAAGGAAGAAGAGTCAGAAGCGACACGTAGCCCCTGGACTCCAAGAGCCCTGCATGATCCAGAGAGCTGTGGCAGCAGAGGAGCGGCAGGAGAATCAAGAGCCAGAGCGCGAGCCAGAGCTGCGGACTCCCGGCCCCCAGAGCGAGGGAAGCTCAGTGCCTCGTTTCCAGCGTGGGCTGCCACCCCAGGCAACTAATTGGAGGGAGCTAAGTTTGCCGACCCATGGAGTTGGAGCTAAGTATCTCTGGGCTGAGACTTATAGGGGAGTGTTCTCTGGGCATTTATCAGGAGTCCTAAAAGAGCCAAAGTAGGGGAGAGACCAGGTCAGGGAACCGAGGGTCAGAGAGAGATGTTCCTGGAAGCATGGCTGAGAACAGGGTCTCCTGCCTGGAAGAACTGATCCTGAACCGTAACTATCAATGTCCCTCACACACCCTCTCATCCATCACTGAGTACTGTCTGTGAGGTCTGTGTGGTCATTGCAGTGAAGTAGCAAGGGGCCCAGCTGAGGAGGTTGTTGAAAGGCTGGCTGCTGTCAGAATTGTTAAAGACGGTTGGAGGCTAGAGACCTGTCTGATCTCAACCTCCTAGAAATTAGCCCTGGGCGGCTGCTGCTGGTGATTGTCTGTCTCCCCCTTGTGAAGTTAGGAGTCAGATGCTGTTGCCCTGTCACCCTCAGTAACACCTAACTTATATAGTGGACATTAGAAATGAATGTGGACAAATCTACCCTGTAACTCAGAAGGAAGCCAGGCATCAGTTGAGCTCCCTTCCTGCCCTCAGGCAGCTCAGAGGAAATCTGCATGCAGGTGCCTCTCCCAGGGAACAGTGATAGGGAGCCGAGAGCTGGTCTGCTGCCTAACTCCTCCGCCTCTCATCTCGGCAGTGTGTTATTCCTATTTTGTATGTGTCCTGGAAACTTCAAATAGTCCATATTTAGAAGAAGCACACAAATTCCAAAGGCAAACAGAAAATGGCAAGTAACCAGGAAGTTCCTATAATAGTTCCTATAACAGCTTTCACTACTGCAACTATGGGCAAGGGTTCGTCCAGGTCTGCAAGGGGGGTGGGGTTGTGCACTTTCAACGACAGATGATTTGGGTGAGGTCAGCAGGGAGAACAAACAAGATGGCAGATCGGGTGGACATGCAGTAAGGAGCTCCGCCAGCAACAACACAGAATACCCAACCAAGCAGGCTCAGGGGATGGTCCCAGAACTCTGAACCACATATAAAGGAATATTTAGAAGGTTGGAAGGCTTACAGCTGGGGGAATTTGTGACAGAAGCAAGAAATCCATAGCTTTCTAGTTTGGAACACTCAGCTGCTCCAGGAGCCACCATCTTGGGTGAGACCAAGCCGGGGAAGGATCGGAGCAGCCACAGACACCTGGCAGAACCACAGAGATAAAGGTGTGGACATTCTTTTCTTTTGGTATCTGTTCATTGGTCCCTTACTGTCTGAGCACCGCCATTCTGGTGACTATATGGGTACCTGAGCTAGTAGATACCCCAGCCCCACCCTCGGAGTGTTCTACTATGCATGCACACAGATCTCCTCGAAATTTAAAGAGACAGTTTCCAATTAAAACCAAACGGCCACAGTCGGCCCTGAACTGTTTATAACTAGAAAAAAGGCCTGAAAGGGGATTGTGAAGAGGGACAAGCAGACAAAAAAGGAAATAAGCAGAAAATTAAATCTTACGTTGCGTCAAAAGTACCAACAGTGGCTTCTTGAAATTTCTCATGAAGAGTGAAAAGGGAAGCCAATTTCCTGATCACATCTACCTGGAGGCAATCAGAAAACATAAAAAATACTAAAATACATACCCATCTAAGTATTAAGGCCACAGATAACCTCTGAATATGCCCCAAAACACAAGCAGATGACCATATCTGCACATGTCCAGAAACGAGATAAAGTGACTGAGGCAAATGAGCTGGAAGTAGACCTACACGCCATACTGGAAGATGGGCAGGCTTTGGAAATCCTGGAGAAGGAATTCAGAAAAATGATTGTAAAATGTATCAAAACACTATACAGTGGAGTTGAGAAAAATAATGAAGGAGTCCGGAAAGCGCTACAGGAACAATCAAGATAAATACAGCATTGGAAACAATTCAAAACCTACAGAAACAGGTCCAAATGATGAATAATAGAATATCAGAAATCGACAATACACTGAAAGGGCAAAGGAGTAGAATTGAAGAGATAGAAGCCAGAACTAGTGAGCTAGAAGATAAATCTCTCAACACTACTAAGATAGAAGAACAAATACAAAATAGGATAAAAAAATCT